TCCACAACAGACCAGGGATATAGCTACATAGATCTGGGATTCCAAATCTAAAGAAACTGGGAAACTAGAAGGGAGGGGTTCCTGGTGCTCTCTGAGCTTGGATTTTTTCTTGCAGATGTTTCACGACCAAACTAGGTAACGTCATCAGTGCTAGTAAGCAGTGGTGTTTTTTCTTAGTTTTTATTGTATATTGACTCCACTTCTTACTAGCACTGACGACGTTGCCTAATTTGGTCATGAAACGTCTGCAAGGAAACCAGCAAGCTCAGAGGGCCCCAAGCAGGCTTCATTTCAACCCTCAGCTACAAATATTCTCCTTTATTGTCCTAGATACAGGGGTAGGCAACCTTGGCTCTTTTGTGACTCGTGGACTTCAACTCCCAGAATTCCTGAGCCAGCACAGCTGGCTCAGGAATTCTGGGAGTTGAAGTCCACGAGTCATAAAAGAGCCAAGGTTGACTACCCCTGAATGCTACAAATTACAGCAGTGGTGTGAACGTCCAGAAAATATTGGTATTTAAATGCGACAGCTGCCATTACTCTAGCTTTAATTTTTTGCAGCCTCTGCCTGAAATTCCGTCTCTTTGGAGGGAAACCCACTTCCCTCCCCATCCTGGCGGCTGCCCTCCCTGCCACTCAGGACAGAGATAATCTATGCCACATCTGGGACCACCGCTCCCAGCATCCACCGCCCTCCTGGCAGAGGCTGCTGGGAGCTGTGGTTCAGCAGCCTCTCACAGGGCATGGCTTTACAGGCAGTCCTCGGCTTACGGCCACAACTGAGCCCAAGATTTCTGTTGCTAAGCGAGACATTCGTTAAGTGAGTTTTGCCCCATTTTTACAACTTTTCTCGCCCCAGTTGTTAAGTGAATCGTTTCAATTGTTCACTTAGTCACACGGTCGTTAAGCGAATCCGGCTTCCCCCACTGACTTTGCTTGTCAGGAGGTTGCAAAAGAGGACCACGTGACCCCTCCGGGACACGCTGCAACCGTCATAAACACGAGTCAGTTGCCAAGGGCTCAAATTTTGATCACGTGACCCTGGGCATGCTGCAACGGTCACAAGTGTGAAAAACGGTCGTAAGTCAGGTTTTTTTTTTCCAATGCCGTTGTAACTTTGAATGGTCAGTAAATGAGATGTCGCTAAGTCGAGGACTGCCTGTACTGCACGAAAAAAAAAAAAAAGGCCAGGGGAGCTTTGCACGTCCGACACAACGCACAACACACCAAAGAGGCCGTGCTGGTGCTGCTTTGGTCACTGCTGTGCCCCCCCCCTCCCCGGGGTCCCCTCTGGAGAGGACGAGGGGCTCCGGCCCCCTGAGGGAAACCGGAGGGGCTGAGAATGGCTCATTCCAACAGGTGCAGCCCGGCCCCTGACCTTCCTCCCCCCCTCTTCCTCCGGCTGCTCCACCTGGCCGCTTTAATCCCCCCCCCCCAGCCTGCACGAAAACCCTGCGGAGGCTGCTCGCCCTCTTCCTGTTGGAGAGGACCACGGTGTTCCTCCCGGCATTAACAAGCATCGGCTTATTTGCTCGCTCCTGGGCGGCTCCCTTCGCAAGTGAATGTCAGCCGTGCAGGCTCCGGTGGGGGAAAAGGAGGCAGATTAAAGCCATCAATTACAATAGCACCAGGCAGAGCAAACCGTCGTCTCAACTACTCATCCGTCCCACCGAAGGGAAGAACAGAAGGAGGATGGCCGCTCTCCGTAAAAGCCTTTGTCTCCCGCAAGGAGGGAACGGGCGCCCTTCCTTACAGCCTCTGTGTGTGTGTGTGTGTGTGTGTGTGTGTTTCTGACCTGACACAGATGGGGTGCCATCTCAAAGGAGCGATGTCGGGGGAGATGCCCCATCGTCCAGGCCAGGCTTGTCCCAAAGGTGCTTTTTCCGAAAGGCAACTGGACTTTCTTGTGTGTTTGTTTTTTTCTTTCTCCTCTTGAAAACGTTTCGCTTCTCAGCCAGGAAGCTTCTTCAGTTCTTCTTCTTCTTCTTCAGTTCAGAACCGAAGCAGCTTCTTAGGTGGGAAGCGAAACGTTTTCAAGAGGAAGAAAACAAAACACCGTCCAGTTGCCTTTCGGAAAAAGCAGCTTTGGGGTCTCAGAGGCGAGAGGGGCTCCACCTTGCCCAGACTGAGCGGGCAGGACTCCTTCTCGCCCCTCACCCGCACCGCGTCTTTGGCTCAAGAGGGCTGGAGGGGGGGGTACGGCTGGCATCGCCCAAGCACAGAGGGGGCCCTGTGGGGGTGGGCACCCTTTCTCCGGGCTGTGTGGAGATTATCAGCCTGGCGTGGGGGGCCTTTAGAGAGAGTCTTTCTCCCATCCTCCTCCTGGGAGTAGGTGACCCTCCATCTTCTCCCAGGAGGAGGGAGGAGAAGAATTACTGCCAACCCCCAGGGGCCATGATGGATGGTATCAAACGCAGCTGAGAAATGAGACCCCCCCCCTCCCAGGGCTGAATCTACCCATCTGAGACCTACCAGCCATTCATTTTGGCACTGGTCTTCCAAAAAGCTTTGAATATCATGAGCTGTGATTAATTTTATTTCTCTTTTGTGGGTTTAATAGCTGCCCAGAATCATGGGCTGGCATATCAAAAGGAAGGGAGGAAAGAAGGAAGGAAGGGAGAAGGGAGAAAGAAGGGAAGGAAAGAAAAGGACAGGGAAGGAGGAAGGGAAGGGGAGGTCCTTGGAGCACTCCTTGAGCTGGATCCAGATTGAAATGGATCCTAGATAATCCATCTGGAGATTAGGTCATTCTTACTATTTCAAACTCTAACTCATTTCCCTTCCCCATATTTCACACCGTCGCACAGCGCTGGGTTCTGCCTTTCCTTAATGACCATCATTGATTTCAGATGTACTGTTAATCCTGATAGCAACCAATTATATCCATGTCCCCTCATGGTTGTTTGTATGATTGGTTACGCTTTAATTAACCGTCTCGCCCAGAAATGACAGCCAGATTTTCTCCCTTAATTGGTTTCTCTCTGCCTTTTGGGCTCCCTTTGAGAGGCGCCTGCCCAAAGCCGGGCGAGAACAGCCGCCCTGCTATCCGCTCTTCCCGCTGGGGGGCCTTTTGGGGAATTTCCTTGGGGGCTAAGAGGGGTGGGGGGAGGAAGGACTGAATGCCCCCCCCCCAGGCCAAGAACCAGGGCAGCCTCAGGGAAGGAAGTTATTTATTTATTTATTTGATTTCTGTAGCCTCCCCCCCCTCCCATCTCAGCAAACGGCTCTGGGCGGCTCAGAAACACGTTCCAATTAAAATCTTAAAGGCGTTTTAAAAATAAAAACCATTAAAACTCCCAAAAAACGTTGAAACGCCTGATTTGAGCAGGTCTCAAGCAAGAGACCCGGCCCGTTAGGAAGGCAGCCGGGAGGCGGAGAGGGGGGGGGTCTTGGCGCATGGGGTGTCCCAGGCTGGGGAGCCTCACCGGGTCTTTAAAGCTTTACGGAAGGCTAACGGGGTGGGGGCCATTCATGGGGGGCCCAGAACCAGGCTGTGAAAACCCAGAGGGCACCGCAGGGGTGGTTTCTGCACTCGGCAAGAGATGGGACTAGATGATCTCCATGGAACCTTCCTACCTGTCCATTCTCCGATTCTTTGACTCTTCACTCTGCATTGGTCTCCTTCCACCCCCCGAGGCTTTTCTCTGTCCCTGGGAGAGGAGAGGGGTCCAGAAGCCCCTTTCTCTGGAGCCCCCTCCCCTCAGCAGATCCCTGCCTGTCGGGGGCTCCGGGGCTCCTGGCGTCTCCAAAGGGCGGGGAGAGGCATTGCCCTTGTTTCTATGGGACCCCCAAAGTGGACCCCCGGACCCTGCCAGCTGTAGCACCGTGAAGCCCTCCTGTCTTAGTCTGGGCACTTTCTCCTGTGCCCCTGAAAGCCTCTTTTTAAGAAGGGACCGGTCACTTGTCCGGAATGGGATAGGGCCTCCTGCTTGAGCAGGGGGGGTGGACTAGAAGGCCTCCCAGGTCCCTTCCAACGCGGTTATTCTGCCTATGCCAGGCTGGGCAGCCCTGCTGTTTCCAGAGCCTCTGTCGATCCCGACGTGTTCCGAATGGAATCCTCTTTCAAAAGGAGCCCCAAAGCCAGAGAAACCAATTAAGGAAGAAAACCTGGCTGTCATTTCTGGGCAACGGCAGTTAATTAAACTGTAACGAATCGTACAATTACACACACCGTGTGGGGACATCAATGTAATTGGTTCCTCTCAAAACACCGCCTCCTGGCTGCGATCTCCGGATCAGCCGGGCGGCTGCACCCCCAAACCTGGCAGCCCTTTCCTTTTCCGGCGGGACTTTTTAATTTTGGAGTGATTCCGTCAGCCGTCCCTAAGTGAAGGTGCTGAGTCCGTGCCCAGCGCTCCAGAACGACTGCGAAAGAATTTGCAGCCGTGCCACGGAGGGGGCTTAGGCCGAAGCGGCTGGCGTGCCCTCCAGGTGCCACCTGCGTGTGTCTCTTCCCACCCGGCTCGCCTGGCGTGGGCACCCGCGAGTGGCAGGAGGAAGACCAGGGCCAGCCAGCCGATGCTCTGGCAGAAGCCACGTCCCTGGGCCTGGGCTGACCCAAATGCCGGAGGCCTTGGCGCCCTGGTGGTGCAGTGGTTAGAGTGCAGTACTGCCGGCTGACTCACTGCCCACTGCCAGGGGTTTGATCCTGACCGGCTCAAAGTTGACTCAGCCCTCCGTCCTTCTGAGGTGGGTAAAATGAGGACTCAGATTGATGGGGGGCAAGAAGCTGTAAACCACTTAGAGAGGGCTGTCAAGCACTGTGGGGCAGTATAGAAGTCTAAGTGCTCTTGCTAAGTGCGAAGGAAGGAAGGAAGGAAGGAAGGAAGGAAGGAAGGAAGGAAGGAAGGAAGGAAGGAAGGAAGGAAGCTGGGAGGGAGGGACCCCCTGCGCTACAGCTACCTGCTGAGCCCCCTGCCCCTCCTGCCCGGCAGGACTCCAGGGGTTGCCCCCCCAATTTCTCAGTGCTACAGAAAGCCAAAGGTCACACACACACTTACCAACATCGGACTCTTTGTGGGTTTTGATGATTTCTGCCAGTTCAAAGTTCCCCGCAATAATGGCCACCTGCAAGCAAAGAGGCCAGAGTGAGCCGGACGGCTGCTGACCGCAAAGAGTTCTTTGAGTGCCACTCTGCCTCACGACAGCCCTGCAAAGTAGGTCCTTTGCTTCCACTTCTTACAGGGACACAGGAATGGGCACGCTCCGTCCAAGCTGCCAAGCCCGGAGATGTTTGTTTGCAGCTGGATCGGAGCCCAGGAAGAGCGGGGCACGTCACGTTGTGTTCTTAGCCCTTTGGGACCCCCAGAAACCTTCGGAAGACCTGGGGGAGATGCCTCCGAAAGGGGGAGACCTCCTGGGGTCAGGAGAAAAGGGCCAGGGACCCTCATTCAGCTTCCCTTGCCAAGCAGGATTCGACCTATGTTCCCTCCCCTGTGCTTTCATTCAGAGGGAAAGGAGCAGCCCCGGTCCCCCCCCTCAGGCTGGTGGGAATCTGGTGACCCACTTTGCATTGGGGTCCAGAAGAGGCAGAATCGGGCAGTGGTTGCCCACCCTGCCAGCAAGTGAAAAGCTGCGCAATTGAGTTGGGGCAGTTGTGATGCCCTCTGTGCACTGACGCCCCTCTCCTAGAGGTAGTAGCTCCACCCCAGTCATTGACCAGCCAAAGGCAGCCGAGGGTGGAGAAGACTGGCAGGCAGTGTTGGAGAGAGAGAGAGAGGCAGGCTGGCCAGCCAGGCGGAGGAGTCAAACAGGGAATCAGTCTGGCATCCCTACATGGGCACAAGAGGGTGAAGTCTGACCCCCTTTGAATGCTGTTGAACTCTAAGTAATCCGGCCCAGGTGCAAACTGGGAAGATTCCTGCAAAACAGGCACAGAGCCATAAAGTAGCAGGTTGAACGCTTTCTGTGTGGACCTGGTTGTTCGCGCCTGACAGGCGGTTTGATCAGAGCAGGAGGTGAGAAGGGGCAGCGGGGAGGCTGACCTGCCCCCCACTTTGCTTCCCTTCTCCAGCTCCCAGCCAGGGGGGAGGTATTCAGGGCTCTTGGGGTGCTCCGCCTGCTGTGACCCCTTCCCCAGCCCCCAGAGGAGATGAGCTCCAGGGACTCCACCTTTCCTCTGAGGACCCTCGGGCAGAGGAAAGAGGGCTCCGGCAGGGGTCTGATCACCCCCCCCCACACACACACACACTCAAGAACCTGGAACTGGAACCGATGCAAGGTGCCGCTTTCTGACTTGAAGTATGTAATGGATACAGACGGGTGTGAAGTGGAAAATCACAAAGCGCCCGTCTCACGTTGGCCAAGACGGAGGAATGCAGGGGAGGGGGGAATTCATGCCAGTCTCAGGGCTTCAAGGGGACAGGACCTTAGAGGCTGCTGGAAAGGCCCTGCCCTGCCTGGGCTTGGTCAGGAGGAGCCCCGGTCCCTTCTCTGGGGCAAGTCTTGCTCCGTGATTTGATGCCCCAGCTGAGTCCTGCTTTAATGACAGAATAACAGAGTCGGAAGAGGAGGTCATGTAGCCCAGCCCTCCTGCTCAGGAAGGAGACCCCGTGCCATTCCAGACAGGTGGCTGTCCAGCCTCTTCTTGAAAACCTCCAGGGATGGAGCACCCACAACTTCTGGAGGCAGGTTGTTCCACTGGTTAATTGTTCTAACTGTTAGGAAGTTTCTCCTTAGTTCCAGGTTGCTTCTCTCCTTCATTAATCTCCATCCGTTGCTTCTTGTCTTTGCCTTCAGGGGCTTTGGAAAATAAGTTGACCCCCTCCTCTTTGGGGCAGCCCCTCAGATACTGAAATACTGCTCTCATGTTCCCCCTTTTTCTCTAGACGAGACAAACCCAATTCCAGCCACCGTTCTTCGTATGTTTTAGCCTCCGGCCCTTTAATCATCTCTGTTGCTCTTCTCTGCGCTCTTTCTAGAGTCTCAATATCTTTTTTATAACATGGGTAGCAAAACTGGAGGCCGTATTCCATGTGTGGTCTCACCAAGGTCTTATAAGGTAGCATTAACCCTCCACGTGATCTTTATTCTATCCCTCCGTCAAGGCGGCCTAGGGCTGCGTTGGCCTTTCTGGCAACTGGAGCAGGCTGCCGGCCGTGAGGTCCTGGATCGGCTGAGGGGTCAGACAGGAGGACACAGGACTTCCAGGGAGGGCTGCCTTCCTAAAGGGGTGGGATCACCCCTGCCTTTCCTTGGTCTCCAAGCCTGGGCAGGAGAGTGCTGGAGATCCCCTGCGCCCCTGGGGGGGGTCCCTCCTGGCACCCCTCCCTACGAGAAGCAGAGGGCCCCTCTTCCAGAGCCCGCCGTGCCCCTACCTGAAATGCGGTCTGGCTGTTGTAGTTCCGGATCTCCTTGCTCGCTCCCCGGAAGAGGAGAACCCGGGCACAGCTCTCCTGGCAGAGAGAAAAGGAGGGCAGCGTCAACTCTCCTTCCGACTGGGCAGAGGTGGGCATCTCTGGCCTCGTTAAGCCAATGGGGTGCTGGAGGGGGACAACGGGGCTGCCTTCCATGGCTGCCCCCTGCCCCCTGCATTGTCGGGAGAAGGAGTGAGGTTTGGGACCAGGGACCCCAGTAGAACGGGGCAGGGTCCCTGCAGGGCCAGCTCCTCCCCAGTCTCTTGCCTCCCCCCCATCCACTTCCCCCCTTGGCCCAAAGGAGGGTGTGGGCCTCCTGGTCCAAACTCCTGGATTCGGACGAGGGAGCCAATCCAGGCCAGCTCTGAGCCACGTCCGGTCACCCCTTGCGAGAGGACCCTGGGATTCCCTCTGTGCCCTTCCAGGTCTGGAGACACGAAAGGCCACCACTGGCCCTGCAGGAACTGGGGATGGGAATTTGACCCCCCCCATCCCCATTGGACCCCCCCTCCCTTCACAAAGTCCACCTGCCTTGGAGCGTTATCGGAAAGTAAATGGAACTTAGCATTAACTAGTTCAGGAAGAAGAAGAGGGAAAGAACAAGGAAAGGATGGAGAACGGACCATCGGCGGGATGCCAGAGTCCCTGCCGGGGGGGGGGGCAATAGTGTGTGTGTGTGTGTCAGTGTCTCTGTGGGGGGGCTCACCTGGTTGTAGAGGGCGCAGACGTGCAGGGCAGTGTTTCCCGAGGCGTTCTGGGCTGTCATGTCGGCCCCGTAGAACAGGAGGTGCTCCAGGTGCTGAACGTGTCCGTAGCGGCAGGCCTGCTCGGGAGCAAGGAAGGCAGGACTCGCATTCAGAGCCCACTTCAAGGCCCGTCACCCTCTGTGCCACAGCTCCCACTCTGAAGACCATGGATTTCAAATCCCATGGTGCCCACCCTCCCCCTGGGCTCCCTTCCCTCTCCAGCCCTTTCCCCCAGTTCTGAATTGTTTCTCTCTGGGGTCTGTGAGATTTCTCATTTTATCGATTTATTAAATTTAGAGGCTGCCCATCTCACTAATAAGACAGCTCTGGACAAGCCCTGGCAGGTAACACCAGCAGATGGGCAGTCCTCGCTTTATGACCACAGCTGAGCCCAAATTTTCTGTTGCAAAGCAAGACAGTTGTTAAGTGAGTTGCCCCCATTTTACGACCTTTCTGGCCACAGTTTTTAAGCAAATCACTGAAGTTCTTAAGTCTGAGTCACACAGTTGTTAAGTGAATCCGGCCTCCTCTGTGACTTTGCTTGTCAGAAGGTTACAAAAGGAGGGGTCACATGCCCCCCCGGACGCTACAACGGTCGTAAGTATGAATCAGTTGCTAAGTGTCTGAATTTGGATCATGTGACTGTGGGGAGGCTGCAACGGTCATAAGTGTGAAAAAGTCATACGTCACTTTTCTCAGAGCCCTTGTGAATGGTCACTAAACGAGGACTGCCCATAAGTTGAGTTCTACCTATAGAACTTGGAGGTAGGAGAACGGGGGGGGGGGGAGGGAACTGAGTGCCAAAATTGCTTTAAAGCCTCCCCCACTCCAGGTGCAGACAAGGGAGGTTTGCTACAGGGTCTCTGCCCACAATGGGGTGGGGGTGGGGGCATAGGACAGGCAAAAGGAACTCCCAGTTGCCCCCTTTCTCTGCCAGGGTGGGAATTCGGCCCTGGGTTCTCCCTCTCTCAGAGAGGCACCTCTGCCCCACAGCAAAGGGGCTGAGGGTGCTTCCACCGGGGCCTGGCCCTTCCCTCCAGCTGAGCCCCTGCGCCCACCGCTGGCACCTGCGGGCTCCGCCACGCCGCTCACCTGGTGGATCTCCTGCCAGCCGTTCTCATCGATGCAGCCCACCTTGGCGTAGTCGTGCAGGAGCAGCTCGCAGCAGTAGGGGTCCCCCCCCACCATGACGCTGTGGTACAGAGGGGTCAGACCCCGGCTGTCCTTGTAGTCCGTGGAGGCACCCAGGTCTAGCAGCGTCTGCGCAAAGACAGGCACGGGTGGGGGCGGGGGGGCATAAGGAAGTGCCCGGCATCTCGGCCCAGCAGGATAGGTGGCCCGAGGCCACGAAGGAGACGCCTGCATTATGTGGCAGGTGGCACACGGGGTCTGCCCTCTGGGCGGGTCTGCTGCCCGGGGGGGCCCAGAGTGGACCAGACCCTCAGCCTTCCCGGGGAGACTCCGTGCCCAACACCCATTTGCCTTAAACTCAAACCAACGCACGCTTTGATTTGCTTTGCTTTGCTTATTAAATGAATTTAATCATGTATTATCATTACGTCACGAACATCATATTAATAATATGTTATGAATATTAATAATTCGTTATTGTTAAATAAGTAATTCATCATAATTAAATAAATGTATGTATGTGTGTGTATTTAATTATTTATTTATAGCATACATTTATTAAATTAATTTGCCACCCATGTCGGATCAAAACGTTTCGCACACAGGCTCCCCCTTTGTGCCCACACACCGTTTGCGACCAAGTGGGGCAGGCTGAAAAGACGCAAGAGGTACTGTCTGAAACAGGGGCGTCCACTCTGGGCCGGTCACGGGGACCAGCGCGTTTGTCTTCCGAGCTTCCGTACTCGTGCTGGCGCCCCCACCCTCGTGGACCTTCGCTCTCCTTCTCTCAGAGAGGACGGGGGCCCCAGAACTCGGAAGACAACAGCGCCGGTCCCGGTGACCGGCCCAGAGTGGGGAGGTGCACCTGCGTTTCACACCACACAAAAGCTTCTTCTTTGGGTTCCTGGGCGCTCTCTGAGTTTGGCTGTTTTCTTGCAGACGTTTCATGACCCAGCTAGGGAACCTCCTCAGGGGAGTGGGAGATTGCACTCTGTACGTATGCAGGGGCTTGCCCTAGCTGTGTTGGTGGGAGTGTTCTTGGTGGTCCTGTGATTAGGTTGTTATTTATTGTGTGATGGTTTGTCTGGTATTTATTCTGGTGTTAATCTCTGTTTATCTGGGTGTTGATTGCTGGCAAGGAGGTACTGGGGTCTTTTAGCTTTTTGATTGACCTCCCTCCTTCCTAGCCCTGGTGATGTTACCTAGTTGGGTCCTGAAACGTCTGCAAGAAAACCACCAAGCTCAGAGAGCATCAGAGACCCCACAATCCTCCTCCTCCTCCTCCTCCACCACCACCACCACCACCACCACCACCACCACCACCACAAACCCCCTCCCTACTAGCCCTGACGATGTTCTCTAATTGGGTCCTGAAACGTTGATGGGAAAACCACGCAGCTCAGAGAGCACCAAGGGCCCCACAGAACTACAAATATTCTCTCCTCTCAGCGTCTTCCTTGGAAAGCAACTCGGGAGTCGGCAAAGAGGCTACTGGACTCCCTCGGGGGTTTTACCGCCTTGGTGCTGCCTGGCTGTCCTTTGCCTGCTGTGCGGCTCCCACAATCCCAGCCCTGTCCAAGGAGGGTCTGGCAGGGACCCTGGAGAGCAGGGCCACCTGTCCAGGCTGAGCGGAGTGACCAGAGCACCTTCGGTGCCCCCAACCCTGGGGGGAACCGGCCCCGGCCCGAGAGAGACTCACCCGCAGGGCAGTGTGGTTCCGACATCGGACGGCCTTGTGCAGGGCCGTCATCCCTTCCCGGGTGCGGAAGTCCAAGTGGGCACCGCCATTCTTCAAGGCTTTGATCATCTCGGCACAGAACTCCAGCTGGGCACTCATGGTCAGCGGGCATTCTGGGGAGGGGGAGCAGAGACAGTCTTTGGAGGGTCTCTCCAGCCTCCCCGGCACCATCCCCCCTCAGCTCCACCTGGGCCACTCTGCTGTTGATCAACCGCCTCCCTTCTGCTGATCCCCCCACTGGACCCCCAGGCCGACCAGCAGAGCCAGGTCCCACAAGAAGACGGGGTCAGGGTTGGGCCCAACCTCATATCCAATAAATAAAGTATTCAATTCAATTCAGTAGTTAAATATCGGTCGTCGTCCCTACCCTAGGACCTATATTTTCTGCGGGACACACTTACACCTCTTCCTGTGTGTGGTAGAGTGTCCACGACGCCGCGTATGTTTTGGGAAGTTGCGTGTGCCTCCTTCTGGAGTGCGACCGTCCTGTTTTACGACGACTATACCGGACTAGAACCCACCTACGGTAAATCAAAATTGCCTATTTATTTGCACACTTTTAAATGTGCTATATTTTTGATATGCCTTTTTTATGCCTGTTTTAGTTGCTCAGTACTGAATGTGAGGCCTCTGTAGGTGCTTCTGGCACAAATAAAGAAATAAAGCAGGGCGGATGGCAAGGGCTGGCTAGGTGGTGACCGGGTAGGAAAAAGGTTGCAAATAGAGAGAACCACGTTCGTGTGTTTGTGTGTGTGTGTGTGTGTGTGTGTGTGTAGCTGCTGCCCTACAGGCAAAACTTCCCAGACTTTATCCTTACTCAGTGGTGGATGAAAAGCCAACTTCCCTGGCTGGGTTCACACAACATGCTGGACCAAACTCCTTAACCCCATTTACACTTGCCTGGCCCCTTGCAGGAACAAAAGGGTGTGCAATACCCCAAGTGCTCCAAAGCAAGCAAAAGATCCAACTATAAACGTCCTAGAGCAGACTCCAGAAGACACGAATTCGAAACAGGTTAAAGCCAGAGGATCCCTCCTTGGCCTGTGAAGTTCCCCTTAAGCCAGGGTTTCCCAACCACGGCAACTTGAATATATAGGTGGACTTCAACTCCCAGAATTCCCCAGCCGGCTGTGGCAACCTGGCGCCCATCCAAATCTCACCTCCCGTGTCCGGGTCGTGAAAGTTGGGGTCCAGTCCTTTCTCCAGCAACCTGCTGACCTTCTCCGCATTCAGGGTCTGCACATAGTCCATAAATTTCTTCAGATTCGCCTGCAGCCACGAAACCCAGGAAGAAAGCAGGCCGGTTAGATGCTCTCCCTGGCCGCCAGGCTGCAGCCGGGGGTCCGGAGGCCCCTTCCTCCCACCAGGGAGCCGTTTCCCTCACTGCAGCCTGAAGGAGCGCTGAGGGTTGCTTGTACCAATCCCCCCCATCCACACCCGACCTCGCATCCATTCGATCTGGCACCGGGGAGTGTTCCAGTACACAAAACTCTTTTCCAGACTCTCCACATCTTTTTTACGTTGTGGTGACCGATGCTGGGTGCAGCATTCCCATTTCCTTAGCAGGGCCTTATAAAGTGGTGTTAACACTTCACGTGATCTCAACTTTAAGAAGGGTGGACCTCGACTCCCCCCCAGCCAGCCTGCTCCCTAAACCAAGATTCTGGCCCCGTGTGACATTAGACCTCAGCCTCGGATGACCAGCAAAGAACGCGACGGATTGTTATTGCAAGAACGGCTGGGCCTAACCCAGAACAGGGAACAGCCCAACCAAGAAGGCTGCTGTGCAAAAGCCCACCCCCCCTTCTACAACCGGAAGCTCCAGATGTGCTGGAAGGGAGTCGTGCATTCCATTCTCCTGAAGCCGCCCGACTGGGTGGACAAACTTTTCTACTGCATTTAGCTTTGGCCCCTTTAACCTTAGCACACATGTGCACCGACGCCCCAGAAACACCACCCTGCTTTGCAAAACCTGCCCCTTCCACGAGGACCGATTCCGTGTCCTCGTATGACCTGAAACCCATCACTACTCTGGGGCAGGACAAGGTCCCGGAGAGGGCCCAATCCACACTGCCTCCACACGGGACCCAGGTGAGGAGCGAGAGCTGCAGGCGCCCCAGGCTTCCTCTGAAGGTCCAGGCTCTGCTTCCCACCTGGCCCAGGTGCCTCCCCAGCCTTGTGGACCATCTTCTCTCTCTCCCCCCCCTCTCTCTCTCACATCTTTCTCTCTCTTTCTCAGTCTGTCTCTCTCTCTCGCTCTCTTTCTCATCTCTCTGTCTGTCTGTCTCTCTCATCTCTCTCTCTCATCTTTCTCTGTCTCTCTGTCTCTCTCTGTCTGTCTCTTTCTCATCTCTTTCTCTCTCTCTCTTTCTCAGTCTGTTTCTCTCTCTCTCTTTCTCATCTCTGTCTCTCTGTCTCTGTCTCCCTCCCTCCCTCCCTCCCTCCCTCTCATCTATAAATTCATTAACGGTCCCGGGAAAGGCCGGTGCCCTGGAGATGCTTATTTTCAGATTAAGTCAGGTTCCACCCAGCCTGGTTTCCTTTTGGATCCCTTGCAGATCAGGACCGCACCAGGCTCTGTGAGGGCATCTGAGCTGTGGGGCTCCTCCAGCTCTGGCGCCTTCTGCCATCCTTGCGTTGCTGGCAGGCAGCTCAGCTGCCCCACTTTGGTGCCTCCCCTCCCCTTCACCGGCAGGAGACGGGCCTCTGCAGGATGAAAGAGATGCCGGAGACAGGGAGACGTTCGAGGGAGAAGCAGCCCGATGAACAGGCTGATGTTGCTGCTGCTGGGGGGGGGGGAACGAACGAATCCCTGGCTTAGAGGGAGGAGGACTGTCGAGAGGGAGGCAGTGAGATCCCCGTCTTCTCTAGCTGCATCCCTGCTCTCTCCTGAACCAGGGAAGGGGCTCTTTCCGGAGAACCATCGTCCACCGCCCGAGCACCCTCCAGTGCCCTCCCCCATCTGCGCCTTCTGCTGCTCAACAGGTGCAGTCCAGGCAAGGCCGATTGGGGGTCCTGCCAGGGGCCTCCCTCCACTCCAGGTGGCTCCCGAGAGCTGTCCGAGGTCCTGAAAAGCCCATCAGCTCTGGGCCTCTGGCAGTCCCCCGTCCCCCCCCCCAGATGCCAGCCCATTAAGCAAAGTGGTTTGGCTTCCGCTCAACCCCGGGCCCAGGCACGGATCGGGGGAGTTCCTTCTGGCCCACCGCTCCCCTTTCCAAAGCGGATAAAAATAGAGCAGCGCATCCCTTTCAATTAACTGGCCCTCTGCAATTACAGAAATGAAAGGAGGGCACGGGCCAAGCCACAGAAGATGACAGAGCCAACGCGGAGTAGCTCAGTGCTCCTTGGCTGACATGAGATGGAGGGGGGAGGGGGGGCAGGCTGAGCAAACAAGGCATCCCTAACTGGAATCCCCGCTGGGGAAGGAGGGTGTTCCTGCTCTCTTTGCCCTAGGTTGGGGTCAGGCTCAAGCCCCC